TTGTTGTGACCCAAGTGCAGGACCTGGCACTTCACCTTGTTAAACCAGTCCCTCAAACAGTTTGCTTTTTTCCCTTCTACATAACCCTCTCAGAGTGGCGCAAATACCTACTTAGGCCCAGGATGCTGTTGTCCTCATTGTCGTTCATGCCACACCCATCCGGCAAATTATATGTTCCCTGCTCTCCATTCTGTACGGGTCGAGGCAGCTTTCCTGGCAAGGTTTGATACTTGCTGCCTTTCACAGCTGGTTTACTCTGTTTTTTTTCAAGAGGGAAAACCAAAAGAAATTAATCAATCAAATCACTCATAGCATTTGCAATCCAGTACACAATATTTTAAAAGTAGAGAAAAAGTATTTGAAGTTTATGGTTCAAAATGACACCACCCCCTCCATGTTCCTTCCTACAGATAATTGCATTTAAATCCAATGGTCAGCTGACGAAGTTTTCTAGCTAAGACACAGCCTTCTCTTCCCTCATCTGTTCCTTCTACTTTAGCTGGACTGTACATTACATTAAAATATAATCTATGTTAGATATTATCTGGTTTTATCATAAGACTTTTTCTAGCTGTCTCCCTTTCCTCTGGGACCCTGGCACCCTATAATAATTTAGTCCTTCCAAGATAAACCTTAACAGTGCCAGAAATGCATTTAGTTACTTCTCAGCCCATTCTTTGTTCTGTGAATTTTTCTGCCTGTATTACACCAGACTATGTTTCTGCCTCACAATTGTATCTCACTAGAATTTAAGCAAAAAGGATTTGTATAACTCAAATTTGGTCAAACACATTTGTCCACCACCATTCATAACAATAAAAGAATCAACAATGAAGTTAAGACTGCAGAAATTTAACTTTTGTAAGAATTAGAATCCCTTTGTCTAGAAAACATTACAAATGTGAGGTTTTTTTTTAAAAAAATAATTATAGCTAAATACAGAGTTGCCAAATATATGGCTAAATATGTAATTGCCAATTCTATTATAGAAACGAAGCACAAGGTATACTTTTGATACATACTGGGGGGTGGGGAGAAGCATAGAGTGAGCTGTATTTTAGGGCAAGTCTGAATGGCTGCTGACTCTACAATTTCTGTCCAGCAGGCTACAATAGACACCAATGTACACTTGCCTGCAGCTATGGTACACGTGCACAGTGTCACTAGCACCAGGGAGATAGCGTACGCTGGGAGGACCTTCCTCCAGCAACAGAGCTCACAAGAGGTGGTCCTCAAAGACTCAAGTACATTGTATTGAAAGGGAACTGATATGTAGGATTTGCTAAAAATAGCGTTATCTCTTAATTTTCCTTGCATTCAGTTTTTCAGTGATCAACTGATCACTGGGGTTCTTGGTCCCCGTACAAGGGTAGATTAGAGCTTGCATAGGAATCTGGTGGGTTTGAGCCTAACAAGCTACTTTTCCAGCCAAAGTATGCGTTTCACAGAGGTACTTGTCTACAGTTTTGGAAATGGCACGTTGAGACTTCTTCAATACTGAAACGAAAAGATGAAGGAGCCGTCACTCTGGACAAAAACGTATATCCCACAACTGGCAAAACTATAGGAATATAGAGGCTTTTCCAGAGATGCAGTGAACCTGCAACTCCAAATGACATTAGTGGGAGTGGTATACATTCAATGTGTGTTTTGGAATAAGCTCATATTGGTAAATGGTTCAGTATCAGAAAGGAAGTTATGTAGGAAACCTTTGCACTGAAAATATGCAAAACTTATTTAGTATACAGAAACATACCGTATGCTGCTATTTAATAACTCCATTCTAACAGAATTGTTTTAAAACATTTAAAACATTGTCTGTGACAGGGTGACACATGAAATATTTAATGAGGTAACAACTGGATTATCTATTCTTATTTCAAGGCCTAAAGGGATCTTTGTGATACTATAACTGCAGTCCAGATTCCTCATTTCCTCACCCCCTGCTCCTGTTTTGGCAACTGCTGGAGTACATCCTGACTGGTACCAAAAATTACATGACTAGAGAAATTCCTTATTAAATTAGCACTGTATTTTCTGAAATTGACTGACTTCAAGCTTCTAACCTCACACAAAAGCTTTTACATAAAGAAATATTTCCCTCTCAAATCCTTACCCGTGTTCTCAGTGTTTGTCAGTACTCGAACTATGCAAACGTTTTAAAAAGAAAATGAATATAAAATGAAAACAGAGCCGTACCATCACTGCACATCACAGCAGATAAATGTTAAGAGAGTTTACAGTTAATATACCTCTTGTTCTACAACAGGCTGTACTGGTTTTCCGTCTACATACTACGGAGTTGCAGGCAGGGTAATTTCAAAGTTTTATGGAAAAAAGCAACAGACAAATGTTAGTATTAACATACATACACAGAACATCAATTGTAGTCCTATTACTATATTGATGCTACTTAATGCATTGACAGTATATTACAAGGTCTGTTATCTCTTCATTTCATTTCAATAAAATATTCAATAATAAATGTGTTTGTTCAAACCCCTCTACAAAATTCAGGCCCTGTTTAGGTTCTGTTGTGATCAAAGGAATTTTTCTATTATCAGGCTTCTGGGTGGTCCCTTTAGACTTACTTTAAGCTGGGAACATAACAGTTGTTTAACAGTTAAAATAATATAAAAATGACTGACATAAAAAAAAGAACATGCACAACACTGTATGTATCCAGCTGAAACCATAAAGAGCCGTGATAAAAATGAAGTGATAAAAAAACCAGCACGGCTAGGTCAGAGACACCAATGTGTTCTGGTTTATTTTATTATTGCTGGACGTAATTGGACTTTGATTTTTGTGCAAAGTAGAAGAGCTGCAGTAAGCAGCGTCGCTAGTGCAGGTTCTCTCGGACTTACTGCAAGAAGCAAAGTCTTGTTATGCTGAGTCAGCAAAACAGGTTTTCTTGCCCTTAGTTTTGATTGTAACTAATTCACATTTAACCACTCACTCACACACATAGGTAGTCTCATTTATTTCACTAAGAAGCCTCATGCCTAAATTAGGGCAAACAATTTCATTGCCTTGCTGAACATGGGGCTGGCTTGCTACAATTCTCTCATATATCCTTGGTAGTTCCTTGTTCTAATATGGACTCTGATTTAACAGATAGAGCAGATTTACAGCCTAAATGTGTAGGTACAGCCTTACCACATCATATCACAGAGACAAATTAAGTTTTTGAATTTAAGACAGGAAAATAATTTAAAAGTTATGAAAAGAAAACAGACCTTCATAAATTCCACATGGAATGAAATGTTAGTTCTGAACTGATTTGCCACATGTATGACCACAATTAAATGAGTGCAACACAAATTTCAAACATTCTATTTGGTCACTGCCATCTTCAGAGATTTAAGAAATATTTAAGAAAATTTGAAGAACTGGAACAATCATATTACTAGCATCCATTTTAAATGGCATTACTGGGTGTGGGTAATCTAGTATTAAGCCTAATTTGAGTACAGAAAGTGTCAATAACAGTCTCACAAAGCATAATTACAAGTGCAGAAAAATTTCAGTGTATATAATGACAAAACAAGCCCCTGGACCATAATGTCATGAGACTTTGTATACTGGAAAGTCTTTATTCTGGAATGAAATTAAGCCTTTGAATTAACAACAGTGCTCCTGCTGTTTTAACTAAGGCAGCATCACTACCATCTTCAGGAATGCCACTACCATCTTCAGGCATGCCATTTATATCAGAAGTCTAAGTTAGGGAGTGACACTCATTTACATGCAAACACTCAAAAAGGAATCCTATGTGGAAATACCCAGTCCCAATATTTAATTACTTTCAGGATTTGCTGTCTTAACATTTTTAGCAATTTGAAAGTCAAAATTATTTTAAAAACACTTACCTATAAACAAAATAATACTGCCGTTCAAAAAAATGACTCCTCATTAACATTATTTGTTGTATTTCTCACAAATATTTTTCTTCCCTTTCAGCTGAAAAGCTGAATTTGAGGATGTGTATATATGGGTGTGTCAACTAGTTTGTTTATTCTAAGCTTGGCAATGGGGTGAAGAAAGAACCTGAACTATTTTATCATTAGGGCTGTTTTCCTACATACAATGTTAGTGGCGGTTAGGGTTACTATATGTGAAACAGAAAGAATGTTTATACTTGACCTTTATCTTTTAGTTGTGATATTAAACACCAGAAATTGTGATTACAAATAAACCAACCTTTTCTAGGGATTCACTCTGCAAGTCTTCTAAACTACTTGACTTCTTTTTCTGTGGAACCCTTAAAATAACGACAGGCAAAAAAGCAACGGTTAATACAACACAGTATGTTTGCATATGCCACAACTTCACCACAGCTGTATGTGTCACATGTCTGCATATAACAGATAATTCAGAATTAGGAAATTAATTTCTTTTGTGATATTTTTAGCCTAAAACTCATAGTATTGGGAACTGCAATAGACGAAGTCAGAAACAGCAAGACATCCTCTGATCAACAATGAAAGGCAACAAGGCATAATGTGCAGTTTTAAACCTTGTATCTATATATGACTTTTTAGAAGCTCTTAAGAAGCAAAAGTAGACAGTCATAATTCTCTGTGAACCATGTGCAACATTAAGGGCTTTTAAAAAAATTTAAAAAATGGAAAAAGGCAGAATTATAAAAAAGTTTCTGGCTATGTGTTTTACATTTCAGTTGAAGTTACTCATTCTTACCTATTTATGATTTCCAAAGATTCTTCTTGGGGAGAGGTTAAATTAGTTGAAGATACTGGAATGTTTCCACTTTAAATCAGAATAAAATACACTGTTTTGAGTACTACAATTCATATATCTTCTGATATATAAAAGTGCTAATTTACTCCTGTAATTAAAATCTTATACAACTACGTATTGCAAACTCCCATGGCAAACTGTTTTCACAACTACCCAGAAGTTCTTGCAAAGCCAAGAACAGGCAAGACAAGATGCCAACAGTTAAACAGATTAAATAATACAGACTTAGGACAATCCACACTGAAAACAAGAAAAAAAAGGTCTTGCCTGATTTCCATAGCTTTGTGTGGCGCTGGAGAGAGCACAGCTGGTGACAATTCTCCTGAAGAAGCCTATGTAAAATATAAGAGTTTCAAGCCTGTAACTCTAGTGCCTGATTCTGAATCTACAGTGCCCATACCAAGAGGCACAAAAATTCAGCCAGGGCCAAACCCTCATCTACATCACCTTAGCTACTACAGAGAAACCAATACAAACACATCATATATACAGCGGAACTTGCTGCTAAAACATCTTTAGTAAGTACCTCTGTTTTGAATAATTCTCCTTGAGGATTATTCAAAAGATTCCACTTCCTTAAAGTTGTCTCAAGTTCCTCTTCATTGCCACCAGAGATGGAAGAGCCTGTGAGCATTAAAGATTAGAAGTAGGAAGGGAGAGAAACAGGCCAAAAAAAGTTAACATTTAGGACCGTATCAGACAGTCTAATACTTCAGTCTCTAAACTCCCCTTCGGTCTTCATCTGATGCATGTAGTGTACCAGCCTCTCCACTCCCCACCCCTCCTTTGGGCTCTGACTTACATGAAAGCTGATTTACGTTAGAGCAACAAATTTACCACTTCTTGTTAGATGCTGTGCTCTGCTGCGAGTAGCTGGGCAGCTTACGAGGCAGCTCCTGAACCACTCCAATTCATAGTTTGATGTTCTGAGGCACGTTCAAGTTGGTACCATTTTCACAGTGTATCACTTTATAGGTAGTATGCCCATTTGACATCATCTGTACCATAATGCGGTGCCCCATGCTCAGTTCAAGGGTGAACGTGGTAGACACGCTCCATGTTTTTCTGGACATCCCACATCTAAACAAATACTGAAATACTCCAAATCCATTATTTAGTAGGATTTTTATTCCTAAATTGTCAAAACTGCAATACTAAATCAGGGTGTGAATATTTAGTGCTCAGCAAACTTCTGGAATATTTTGGATAAGAATTTTTTTCTGGAGATCTCCTATGCATATAGTTGCATACAGGATGTGGAAGGGCTGCTATGCCATGATGGAGAAATTCAGCCTGACCTTTAAGCACATTAATAATTCCTAATTTATGTGATAGATATGCAGCAGCCCTAAGGCAGTTATGAAAAAAACACCAAATCTTATGGTTAAGCCTTGGCACTACTAGAAGATTGATCCCTTGAAAACTCATTAGACACGAGCTTGTTTATAACGCTGTTCAGCTACAAAGACTGTCAACAAACCTGATACTGACCATTGGCCCTTCAGGATATGAAGTGAATCTTATGCTATGGTTCCTGGTACACAGCCCTTCAATTAGCACAAATTATTTAAACCAAGAGAGCTACCTATAGTCAAGTTCAGGATAGCACCTTTACATTTTACTCAACTGTCGGTGGCTGTTTCAAGCAGCTGCCCTACTTTAATCCAAAAGAGATTTTGGTTTTTTAGATGTATGTGCTACCTATGAAGAGTCAGTCACCTTTTGTCAACGTAATCTGTAGCTTGCCCTGAGCAGAAGTAAGAAACGCTTCTGTCAAATAATTATTTGAGACAGTTATCAGAGACAGAAGATTTCAACCCATTGATTCTATCAAAAGTTTTTAAGCAGGGATTATGCTTCAAAGGGAACCTTTAAAACGCACCTCTAGAAATAAAACAAAAAAAAAAAAAAATCAGCAAGATATTCTTGACAACCTAAACATGAGACTCCCACAAACACACATAAGGTAACAAGCTCATTTAGCTGTGATAACATTGTAGCCATCACAATATGCACCTCAGTGTGGACAATCTCAGTATACACTCTAGTTCCCACACAGGTTTTGGGTTTTGTTTTTGTTTTATTATGCTGAGCATCACTGTTTTTTTTATTTACACTGTACTGAACGTCTATACTAGCATACATTAACACCATCATACCCCCTGCAGCACCAACTCAACAAGCCAGAGTGTCATGGCTTGCTCCTTGCTCATGCACACAAGCGTCCTCCAAAAGCCATGTCCCACAGCAGGGTGGTGCATTCACATACGTACAACCAGGATGTGGCCAAGGAGAGTGGAACTGCAGGGGTGACTGTTGAGAGCACCTACTCTCAGGGTAACAGTGGTGTAGCTGTCTTGGGAGTTAACGTCAATATGTCTCCAAAAGCTACAATCACACCTTTGGACTTCCTTTCAGAACACCTTTCAAGTGAGAGAACTTTTTTCCCCCCTTTAAATGAACATTCAGAGAGAGATTTACCTGACTCTTGTTCCCTATTCTTGTGGGTTAAATACAAGTCTCCATTCTGCTGTACAAGACCTGAAAATATTGTGTTTGTTAATGTGATAATATACATTGAACAAAACTCCCTTTTCAGAAGGTCAGGTTTCCCAGACTAAATTTAGCCCTGAAAACTAAGGTGGCAACTTAAAATCCTAAAACCCACTCCACTTCCCACAGCGTAACTGATAAATGGGACAAAGATTTTTCCTCAGATTTTGAAGTTAAATATGTAATATTGCGTGCATCAAAGCAACCATGGGTTGTTCTCTCCAAACCAGAACTCGCCTAGTTGGCTGTCAGGATTTTTCTCAGCGGAACGGAAGGGCAACAGAACTTACTATATTCATTGCAACATTTTTTAGCAAAGAAGAAAAAAAGTCTTCCTAACAGTATCAAATTGCACCTGAGATCAGCTTCCCTTTTATGAACGCCATATAAAAAACATGACATAAAAGGAAAACATTGTGTCATTGATGCTAGCTGACTGGCTGGCAGCTGATCATTACTGCCATTCCTGCACTGAACTGTGGTGTAGGAAATCTGAATATAGGACGTATTTAATTAATTAGTGGTCATCGTCCACTAAGGTCTCCCGATATTATTTTACACTGTAAAAACAGGTTACTCACAATGGTCACAGGAAACACCATACAAACTTAATACCTATCTGCATACTTTATTCATCTCCTACAGATGAATTAATTTAAATCAAACTGAATGCCATTTTAATTTTGAATAACAGATTCTTGGGAGGGATATAATGCAATTTAGTAAGAATACTGTAAACTCATGACTTTAGCTAATTTGAAGGAACTTTCCTGCGTTGACAATTCTACATCTGCACGGGTGTCCTTCTGTTTGCTCCCTCCTTTTCACACTTCGTGCTGTAATTCCTTTTGGTCTGGCCTCTGCAACCCACGTAAAACTGAGGGGATGGCAACCAGCAGCAGTGAAAAAAGAAGTATGAAGCTTTGGCCATGAAGGACATATGTCATAGGCCTGCACTGTGGCAGAGACTTACAGGGGTCCCACCAGTGAGGAGGGACAGGACTGCATGGAGTAGCTAATAAAACCATGGCCGCAGCTGTCCATACAGCCATCGCTACATGGATGTAGGAGTTCTGCAACCAAAGTTCCTGCCCCACTGCAGTACATATAGCAAATTGTTTGAAGGAGAGCAGTTGCTGACTTCAGGTTGCTTTGGCACGTAAGGGTGTGAACTGCAGTGTTTCAGACCCAGCTGATGAGCAGTTCACACAGCTGTACAACCAGAGCAGTAACATCCATCGGTCATCCTTCCTTATCAATCAGAATCCTTACTGACACTGTCTAAAACAATATATAGCACCAAAATCAGGCTGCGAGGAGGGATTTACTATTAACTGACGTAGAACAAATTTTAGGTTATGACTTAGGGAGTTCAGCGTAAGATTCAGGCACAGAAGTCTTGCTGAATAGTAACGTAACTAAATCTCCAGAGAGATTTCAGCCTGTCTTTTCGTACTGACTGCAGCATAGGAAACAAAAAAGAAAATCTCCACCAAGTACAGGCAGTAACACACAAGCTCGCTCAAGACGTAGCTGTGTTCTCTCTGAAAGAGCGTATACTTGCTCTCATAGCACTCCAACATGATACAAAAATATGCATGATGAAATATATATTTCTATACACATATATTTAGAAGGACAACAAATAGCAGTTGTAGTGCATGCAGTTTTTGAAAGACCTGATATCAGGAATTTATTCACAAGACATTTTACCGTGAGCGGCAATCATTATTTCTTTGACCCTCCTGTACTGGCTTAGCAATAGTGTTAACTCCTCTATTCGACGGTCCTGTGAAAAGCATTAAATAAAATCGTATTTAAAATCCAACATTTTTAACCTGCAGAAACACTGTATTACACAATCATTTCTGTGATTTTGGCCTGCTTTTCCAGAAAGCAGGATCAGGTCTCCCACATACCTTGTAAAGAACATTTTTGGCTTTTATTTGCCATTGTACATAATATTTGCTGGACACTGTGAAATTATGGATATAAGGAAACCAAAGGAGTTTGACATTACTAGTAAATTAGTTATTTACAGAAGCATAATCTGGAAATCTACTTTCACTTCTAAGAGTCAAAGGAATATTCTGGAGTTGAACCTCAACTGCCTGAAGTGGGCAGTGTTTGTTTTTTTGCTAGCATTGTACCTCTAATCGTAAAGTAAATCACGTTTACGTTTTGTATAGTTTAACAATCTAGTCATATTCTTTAATCCTTTTTGTAGGATATGTTCTGCATTCCGACCTCTACACTTATTCCAGTTTTGAACACACCTTTCTGAACTTAGGCAGTCAAAACCGTACAGAACCAAAGAAATGAGGTCTCATGAATGGCTGATGCATTATCCAACTCCACTCTTTCTCCAATACCTAACACTTTCCTATTACGTATGGAAAGCATCTTTATTTATGTATTCAGGGAGGGTGCTTGCCTTTTGCAAAGATGCAACATAGTGATGGGTAGTAATCATTATGTGATTGGATCTGTCATTTCTCTATATGATATTGTGTCCCCAATGATAATCATAGAATCATAGAATGCTTTGGGTTGGAAGGGACCTTGAGACATCATCAAGCCCAACCCCCCTGCAGTAAGCAGGGATTGAACCTGTGAACTTGGTGTTATTAGCACCATGTTCTAACCAACTGAGCTAACCTGGCTGGTCAAATAAATTCTTGCTATCAGTCACTACGCGTGCAATTGGGCAATTTGAACTCTCATAATTTGTCCTGTTTCTCTGACCCCAGTTCTAAACTATTCCTGTGCAATAATCTTGCCCAGTGCTGTGACTACAGAGCACCAAATACAAACCCAAGCCAGTAATAAAAGAGCTAGTTTTCACAAGCAGGTGTCAGGAAATCCAGAGAAGAGAAGTGGGCACTGGAAAAAACCCCACCTTCCAGGGAAGTTAGCAAGTATTTAATTGATTAGCTGATAGTGAGCTGCTGCAGTGCCATAGCTAGGTCAGTGTCAGAGATATTTCAATTAAAATCTGCGCCAGTACACATATGCTTCATTACAGTTACAGCAGATACCAACTGAGCTGCAGGAGTAACTGCGCAGAAACCAGACCTTTACCACATTACAGAATGGTAGATGATGCTGATCCTCCCTTCACGCCTCAGCAAGTATAGACAAGACAAAAGAGGCCTAAACTAGATACCCAGTTATCCCAACTATGGACAGAAGCAATAGGTTCTTCTTCATAGAAAATTTTTTAAAAAAGAACCAGTTTTTTAAAAGAGAAATATGTGCATCACTTGCTAGCAACTTGAGTGCTGCTTTCTGTCCTAAATGACACCAGGAACATATAGAGTTATCCCAAAAGCTATTTAGAGCTATTTTCCCTCAGGAACAGTGTTTTAATTTTGCAATATTATTGAAGTTAACAGTTCTCCATTAAACATTTAAGAAGCTGTGGGTCAACCATCAGTCCACTAGTTTAAACACTACAGCTTCCAAAGAAATAACCCTCCTTTTTCTATGTGTATATCCAGATATTAGGACATAAGCGACGATATTTTGTGTTCCCTTCAAATGCAAAAATCTTATGCAGACTTGGAATAATTTTGCAAGCGATCATGCCACGTCTTATTTTCCAGATGTAAATTTTGGCTTTTTGATTTTTTTTTAAGAACTAAATGTTGTTATGAGTCACATTACTGTTCTCCAGAATTAACACTGCCCTGTCCAGATTCCCCACTTCCTAAAGGAAGTTTTTAGGGATGTATATTACTGTCTATTTGATTGTATACGAGTGTGTCACCATAAAGGAAAATCCTATGGCCTGGTTTATCATCATGAAACAAGGATTACAATTTCCTCAAGAGTTAATCGCCCTCAACCCTGCCCACCCCCTCCAAAAATAAGGAACAATTTATATAGTAAGTCAATGGCACCTGAAAGTGGAGATTTAACATCCTCCAAGACAGCCCTAAACCCCAAACTTGAATTGTCCGATTGACAGGCAAACAGCATACAGGTGTAAGAGACAAAAAACATATTTACCATTTAAATTAGTTTAATTTCACTCCTCCTCTCCTTTAGTACTCCTCTTTTTTTAAAAAAAAAAAAACCAAAAACAAACAAACCCTTGTCTTTTGAATCCTCGTCCCTTTCTTCCAAAATTTGAGTCTGATTTGAAGACCACTTTGACTTTCTTTCAATATCGCATTCTAAACTGGGGATATCAATGCACTTCAGATTAGACTGGAAGATGAAGAGCTGCCAGAGGTGACCAAACTGTAGTGATCTGTTCGATAGCAGAAACCAGGAGATTCTGCTCATTACAGCCTTGGCTTTCTACTCCCCTCTGGAATCTAATGAGCTTCCCAAGTTCTGCAGCCAGGTTAGCATGGTCAGCCACAATTTCTATTTAAAAATCAACCTTCTGTCACAATCTCATGTGAGAATCCAAAACTCAGGGCAATACCACACTTACAGAAAGCAAGTTATTCAGATCATTATAGAGATTCAAAACCATCATTTCACTCTTACTATGTAGAACAAGGATTATTTTCTCACCTTTTCTTCATTTGCAGCCAATAATGATTCCATTCCTATCTTCAACCGTTGAACTTCTTGATCTAGAAATGTTTTTAAAGTGTTATATGGACAATACACTTGCTATATTTAGTGTAAACAATATGTTTTGTGATACTCTCCCTATTTCTTACAAGTAACCAAAACCATGTCAGTGGCATGGCAAATGCCTCTTAAAACTACATTTAACTTTAAGCTTTTCAAAAGCTGAACTATTAAAAGCATCACACAACACAAACATGCTGGTTTTGCTTATAAAAGACTACATAATATTATTTTATACTCTAAAAGTCAAGTAATTAAAAAAAAAGAAACATCAAAGCTTATTTTGCAAAAGATGAGAGTGCATTTTCTGTTATACATTTAAGGAAATTTAAGGATGATTGAAAATTAATTATATTCCATCTGGGAAAAATGTTCACCAGTTTAGTTCAAGGACATTCATGAAACTTGGAAATGAAAAATTTTTCAAACAAAACCTAGTTTGAAATGATGAAAATTTGTAAATTTTTCTTCTTAAAACATTTCAGTACGAATAACTGAGTTAAAATCTACATCAAGAGCTAATACAGAATTGCCTCGCACAATTTAGTATTACAAGATAGAGGTTATTCAGGAATGTTATACAATTAAAACACTCTCTGAAAATTTATGAGGCTGTCATCCTAACTTTGCTGAACCAAATCTTTCATTTCTTCTCTGCACACTGTTCCTAGCAAGTCCTGCAGTACCAGCCTATACTAAATAAAGTCTAGATGATGGAGACAGAACCTGAAATAGTTTATCTGCTGTAACTGCCTCTCAAGGGATTCATGCTTTGACATTAACACAGACCAACTTGTTTCACAAAAGACTATGAAAACCAGATGTGGCAGGCATGAAGTGAGAGAGAAGAAAGAAAATACTCCTAAAGAGCATCTTTAAAACAAAAAACATTTTACAACTAAATGTTGAACATACAATTTCATATCTAGACCATTGGCAAAAACTGTAATTAGTTATTCTCGTAGTCATTCTGAAAAATACACACCTTGTAATGATTAAGTTTTAAAACAAGTAAATGAACTTTGCAAACATTTTTCTTGCAAAAGAGAACACTTAGTAACACAAGACATGCACAGACACAGCCAAATCAAAAACAAGCCAGCAAGCAGTGGGCAAGCAATTGGAAGATTTTTAAAAAGCCATTAAAAATCACAGTCCTACTAATTTCTCTTTATAAATATTAGACTTCAAAAAGAACTGGTGTCAAGGTATTTCTAAGCACATTAAAGCAAACTTTGCTTACAATATTTATAACAACATCAAGTATGGAAACATTTTTATTCAGGCTGTTTTTTTTTTTTAATTTAGTGCACTGATTAAAAAAAAGCCCAAATCCTTCTCCTCCAAGGAAGGAGGCTTTCAATTAAAGCCATCTTTCCAGATATTATATGGGTTTTACATATGTACAAATAAAAAGAGGTAAAGGTTAAGTTTTGGCTCTGTTAACCTTGACAATGTCCCTCTGAAGTCCAACTATCCAATTTGTGAATGTCTTGATTTTTTTTTTCTGAAGTGAAATCTTACTAAACAGGGCAAGTAGCTAGCTGTCTGCTTGCTGCAAGCAATGAAAGCAATGTCTCATATATATTACAATTAGACAGCCAAATCTAAACAAACATTGAATTATTCCTGCAGAATGCATTTGAGTTATAATTTGTGTGAAAGGAACAGTGAGATAAAAGCCAAAAGTGAATTGCAAGGCTTACGTTTTTCTTTTAGCCTTCTCCTATAAACTTCCTCTACGATGGTAAATGATGAGAGTCAAATAAAGTATGTAGAAAAAGCACATATTAGATAAATTTTGCAATTTAATTAGAATATGCATTCTAGCATACTACAAGTACATTGATATTATTTTCCAACTTTATTTGAGAAGACCACCTAAAAGTCTGATAAATCAGTATTTTTTTTGCAGAAGAATTATTACTGCTGCATACTGTTTCCATTCAAATATAGTTTAAGTGGTTTCCTTAAATGTAGCCTAAAGAACCTGTCCAGGGTTTGATTCTTCTCCCACTGGAATCAAGGACAGTTTCACCCATCTTCAGCATGAACAGGAACTACTACTAGAAGCTGAGAGTTGCTGAGCTCTTGATTTATTGTCATACCACTATCTTTCCCTTGACATATCATACATTATTTGTGAATCTCATAGAAAATACAAAATTCTATTAGTATAAGAGTTGCTCTACAAAATGCTGCTGTTAGACAAACTAATTTTCTAGTTAGACATGCAGTTCTCTACATGCACAAGGTCTGCAGCTGAGTGAAATCAGCACCAAGTATACGTTAAGTCACTTATTTGGAATAAAGAACAGTCAAAATACAGAGTCTTCTAGAAAAGACACATCTGCATTAATTCCTGTAAGGAGATTCTTGATAAGCCCCAAGAAAGAGGCAGCACAGCACATGACAAGTCACATCTCAACAAGGGCACTCTTTGGAAGCGTTAGTTAACACCCACAAAAAAAGTTAGTGCAGCTAAGCTGATGCACTGTGGTCAACTACACACAAATATTCCTGCATGAATAAGTGTCAGTGTTCTAGAAGAAAAAGGTCACTAATATCATATTGCTCACAGCCCAGCAATTGACAGAAGCTCCAGAGAGTCAGTATTTCAGAGAACTGTGACGTGACTGGTTGAGACCAAAGGCTAAACAAACTGGTTTATTTGCCATTGACCTGTATCAACAGTGCAGATTTAAAACAGAAACCTGCAATATCATAGAATCATAGAACAGCCCGGGCTGGAAGGGACCTTGAAAGACCATCTGGTCCAGCCTTTCATGGGAGAGGGAGCCTAAATGAGATACAGTCCTGAAGAAAGGAAAGATGTGAATCAATGACTATGTTTTAGAATGTTTGGACATTTAAACATTATGCTTAGCTACTACTGTGACAATTTTTTTTTCTTAAAAAATGGAAACTGCAAAGATTTTTCAAAGAAATTTTGAAGGTATACACAGAAAATATATTCCCACTGAACTACAATGACTCTTTCAAATTATAAATAAAACTCCAGTAGAAAAAGTTTCAATGCCCTTAGGATACTTACTGCCATTTGTGCTGGCTCTAGACTGCGACAGAATTTCACACATTACAGGCCTCTACTAGATGACAAAATAAATTTTCACCACTTTTCTTCCCAAAATAAATTCTATAAGTCCATTCTTATACCTCTTTGTATTCCTTTGAAATACTGAGCCAGGCTACTACCAAAGTGAAGTGAAAGTAGGGGTTTAGATTTTTAATTTTAATTCCCCTCCTCTTACCTCTTTCTGCCACTTCACTATGTGATGAGGTCCTAGATAGCTGACTTTGTAAGCGTTCTATTTCTGCATCTTTGAGAGCTAATTGCTCTTGAAGCTGGGCTATCTCAGCCTGAAAGAGAGTACAACAAATTCAGAATAACATCGTCACCGATTCTCTGCGATTCCTTCCCATGAACTAGAAGGCTTCTAAGCATAACACTTTACTTTGACTGATGTCCTGTTCCCAATTCAGGACATTTCATAAACACTGTAACAGCCTCACATATTTCATGGTGTTACTATCCTGTTCCTTTTACAGACGCTCACTTTTTCCAGTACAATTCTCTCTCAGAGAAAAGAGACTTACAGAAAGGTAAAGTTTTCAGGGATTTATATAGGTAAAAAAACCTCTGGAAAGCTCTCTGCTACAGTGCTGGTCATATAATAGTCACTATCATAGGGCAACTCCTCAGTTTTGCATGAAGACCACTAAAAGGTAACAGCATTTTTAAAAAGGTATGGTTTTTTATCCTAGTTACTACCTACTAATATAACTAAGAATCTATTAATGTTGAGCCCTTTTCTCAGCAGCACGACAAAACCGTTCGTCCTCATATCAGATACTACAGTGACAGGCTAGAAGCAAAGCATGGCTTGGAAGACAACCACATATATGCAAGAAAATATCAGTGGTTCACTTACACTTACTGCAATTTGTGCTGCCAGTAGATTTGGATAGAATATCACACATTAAAGACCTCAACAATACAGAGAGAAAAGAATTCTGTGACTGTCCAGTTTGAAATACAGTGACTCTCATCTCTTTTTCCTATTTATGAGAAAAACTGTCAACAGTATACTTTACTAAGTCAGTAGCTTCATTCAGATTTTCTTTGGCAGCCTTAAAGACTTTATATATCAATATTCTGCATTTCTCCCAGCAAAAGCATACCAAAGCTCCTTGCAGTTAAAGGGGGGGGGGGGGGGAAGAAGGGGAAAAAAAAAAAAATCACTCATGTGACCAGTTTCTCAAAATGCTAAAATAAAGCAGGAAGAAAAGCAAAACGCTAAACAACATTATCCAAACAGGGAAAACCATGGACTCATTTACTCTTAATACATAAACTTATTTTCACCAGGAAGCAAGCAGCTGGATGGCAGCAAAATATCACCACTCTGCCTGCAATTCCCAATGGAATAGAAGAATCTGCCTTGTTGCATCTCTGAAGGGCTTCTACACTTCCCAGTGACTAATAGGCTTTTTATATCCAGCCATGGAAATATTCCAATTTCTCATCGAAGAAGCTAGAGCAACAGGAAGACAAAAGCTGCAGACCTCATTATACCAGATTTGGATTTGCCTCCCCTGGTCTATCTGATCTCATAGTTCTTTTAAATGCCCTCTTTTCATTTAACATCTCATTCCTGTCATCTCTACAATTATTTTTCTTCTTCCTCTCTCCTTCCCTGTACATTTCTTCCTTTCTAGTCCTGTATCTTCTCTCACTCAATGGGTTTTACGATTCTTCTTTCTTACTTTCATTCTGCTCCTACACTTTCCATAATCTTTATCTGTCTTGGCAGCTGGCCACACAGTGCTTGAGAAAATATTTTCCCAAAGACTCTTCATTTCCACCACGTCAGAGAAAACATTTTCATAGATACAAGAGCTATTATCTTAATATAATAAAAGACACAATAGCAACATTTCAATATTCATCTAAGAATTCTCAAAAGAAAGAAATGCTAATACAAATAATAGCTATCTGTCATTTCTGGATGAAACTATCGAGTATTAAAAAGAAAACTCAGTTTAATAGTTTGGACTGTTTTTCCAAGATCCAACCACAACTCAAAAAAGTCAGTCATTTGTATGAACAGGGATTATAGTACTACACAAATGAAAGGAGATGTGATTACAGCACAAAAGTGTACCTCAACAGGGAAAAATAGTAAGGTGCTTTTTAATCTAGTGGAAAAGGGCTAAAAATTTAAACTAGAAATAAAGTGCAACTGTTTAACAATGAGAATGTTCAACTAGAAAAATTAATTACTGGGAAAAATGATGAAATGTTTCGAATGTGAGTTTCTCCAGATTACGATCCAGGAGCTTTCCAGGATTTAAGGTCAACAGAAGAGTAAGGCAGCTATGCACTTTGATATACACAAAGTCAAAGCATATGATCTAATGGTGTATTTTGGGCTTAAAGTCTATTAAAATAAATTCCATAGTAAGTGAACACCCAGCCAACTTTGCACGTCTCTTCAGTCTGGAAAGCATATTCCACAGAGGCTTGTCACCATTACACAAATAAAAGAGAGAAAACCTTCAGAGAGGCCTTTCCTCAAAACAGGTCTTTTGTAAGTCAAAATGCCCCCCCCCTTTTTTTTTTTTAAATAAGCATTACAAAAAGGTAGAAGACTGGAAACTGCAGGGAGGGAGCAAAAGGCACAAAAAGAAGCTACAAAAACTTTAAAACAAAATACTTATTCCGAAGATGGTTGAAGAAAACTTGACTTTATAGTAGGCCCTGTGACACAAGGCAATTGTAAGAAGAGTAAATATTGATGAGAAGTGGAGCATATCCCTTTCCAGCTGAAATAAGTCTGTCATTAGGAAATGCCAAGTATTCTGCTTACTTTAGTTGCTTTTAGTTTCCACTCGTATTGATTTCTTTCATTTTCCAGTTCTTCCACTTTAATTTTGAGGAGTCTAAGTTCCTGTAGCAAACCCTGCAAAGAAAGAACAGCAGCTAAAAGTATAATTACTCTGGTAGATATTAATTTTCCATAGACCTGAATTAAAGATCACGCATGAGCCACACAGTAATGAACACTGAACCACCACATTAAAAACTGTGACCTAGTCTAAGATGAAAAAAATTATTTTGAATTGAGAAATAAGGAATACTTTCTCAAACTCTCCACCTGAAATTATGAGCAAATTTCTTAGTCATATTAAGGAATGCAGCTGAGCCTGGTGAAGTCATGTGTGTCTCGGTGAAAATGAGCCAAAAAATCCACAACTGCAGTCTCATATGACATTAACGATTGGGTTTTTGGGGGGAGTTGGGGTTTTTTTGTTGTTTTGGTTTGGGTTTTTTGTTTCTCTTTTTTTTCCAGCCACCTCAAAGCAAGCAGAAACACACAGTGCTAAAAGATTATTAACTTTAATTAAAGTGACAATCCTCTCCCCAAACAGGTGCTTAAGCTATTTACCAAGAAAAAACAACACTCAGACTAAATAGTATCTAGCAAGTTACAGGCATTTAATACCATACACACACAGTCAAATATGACTACAAATATGCTACTTTCAGCATTGATGTCTGCCACTTTGCAAACTGAGTTTTTGCAGCCTAGAGCTGCAGCCAAGCAGGGTTCCTAACATTCTGCATCTATTCCTCTGACAAAGTTGTCTCTTAAACGTCCCTTCTCCCTTTCTTTGATAGAACTATATCTTATTGTTTGTTCTGAAGGACAACATTATTTAATCCCTGAGAGAGCTCTGATGAGACCAAATGTCAAATGAAGGAATGGAAAAATTTGGAAGTGTAACTCAATTTTGAAATCCTGTATAGTATATACATTAAGCAACCATACTAATATCATGGATTAAATTAATGTTTATTTTGAATGACTCCCAGATTTGACTCTCAGATTATATGCAGCTTGTACTGTAGTCCAATAGTCCACTAATTAGTTCTGAACAGAGACAAGCTCAGAAACAACAGCACTATTTTCAAAATAGGCATCATGCCCACATGAGTGATTTTTGTAAAATAAACCTATGAGAAAAATTACTGGAAAACTCCCTCACAACGTAAGCAGATTATTTATAAAATAACTTCCGGGGATTCAAATTTTAAGCGAAGAGATGTGGCAACTAAAGCAAACTGATTTAAAAGCAAATACTAAAATAGACTTTTTCAGGCATACCAGTATCATTCCACCTTCAGGAAATTTAAGCAGTTTATGCAAAGTAGCTTTTGTTTTGACATGTGACATAGTTTAGACCAAATACAACTAGGATCTGTAATGTAAACTCAAAAACGCCTTTCTAGTAACTGCTAATGTCAGGAAATAAACAAAAATGTGTTTCATTTGCTATTTTAAAGGTACAAGCAGATTATTTTTATTCTAGCTCTCTTCATTCACTTTAACATTATCATTAGAAAAAGAAAGGATACATTTCAGATCGTCTTACCTGAAACTGTATTTTATACCCGTGTTAAGCTTTTAAGATATTCAGGAATTAATAATCTGTGTTCAGTGGACTGGTTAGGGTGCACCATCATGCACAGCTAGGGCGACGTTATCATGAGGAAAATTAGCAAACTACCAAACCATGCCAGCATGCTGCATATCAAACTGACAAATCACAACTAAGGCAAAAAACCCCCAAACTAAATCAAATAACCCCACACCACACCAGCACTACAGACCTACAAGTAAAATGAAAATCATAAAAAACAACCCTGAAAGAGGTGATTGGGTCTTGCAGGTATCTGTGCTGTAGTAGACAGACAGCAATGGTGACCAAATTTGTCCCAATAATCGGGGGTGGGGTATCTGGGGTGGGGTTTTTTGGTAATTTTTATGACCACCTCACTCTTTACTAATGAAAGCCAAAAAGATTAATGCCAATAATTCACGACGTAGCTCTGGTTAGCAGAATTTAGTTTCTACAAGAGAAGAGAAGCAGCAATACACAGGCTAAGGTATACATCTCATACATCACACTGAGAGCAATTCTTCTGGCTGAGAGTCTCTGCCACTGATCTTGCACTAGATTGAGGACCATTAGGTGTCAAGTCTGATTTCCTATCTTGAGACTTTCTTTCTTGGATTCTACTATTAATTTCCAGCTGCAGTCTACACATCTGCTCCTGTAGCTCACTGATCAGGTTCACTACTGACTGAAAACACAGGAAGAAAGGAAAAAAAGAAAAAAAAAAGACAAAAAAAGACAGGTGAGAAAGAAAATGATGCAAAGAAGATACTTCTACAGTTGCAGCACAAAGAAATACATGCAGCACGTAAAAGGCAAACTAAAAAACAGATGATGTGTTTCCCTTCTGATAAAGTATGTGTGAATGGGTATAAATCTGGAATATTGCACAAAGCTACAGTTTAAATAGAACAGAATCTATATTCCTGACTAATTCATGATTCTGATCCTAATGTGAAGATCAGAAATTTGGCCCCTCATTTTTGGAAACTTATCCAGTCACATGAAGTCAGATATCGGGAAAAACTGGAACATATTTTAATATGCTGGCTCAGAGGCACAATTTTGCTGAAATGGACTTGATTACATTCATTTACACAGCCAAATCATCCACTAGGAAGAAATTGCTAAGTGCTCAGTTGGGGCCATAACCTACTCTTTCACAATTTATACACAGGATTTACTAATAAAGTGATTCTGTTTCCAGGTCTAGCATGGGTCAGAAAAATAACTCCATTACCTAGCTTCCTAGCTAGGCAGTATCTTGACATGGAGAAAGAGTTAAGCAACATACATAAGAGAATCAAAGGATACCTCAGGAGAAAAAGTAATGGCTTTTAAAGTGCACTGATTTGCTGGCCAGCTTCTTGGAATTCTGTGTATCAGTGATACACACAAAAAAATCCAGCTACAGAAAGCAAACCAAAGACAAGTATTAAAATCTATATAACATTTCACTTAAATAGTGCTGGGTATTTTCTCAGGTATTACAAGTTTGGAGTGCCTTTCTCTTGATTTTCATGTACATTAACAACATATGTTTTGTGATTTCTCAATCTTCTCAAGTGGAATAAATTTGATGAGATTACTCCATCTCCCAAAGGAGTGAAAAAGTTTTAGCAGACACAAAAACAGATGAGATGGCATCATTTTTTTTTTTTTTTCCTCATTACAATGCACAACAGTCCTCCTGTAATCTCAACTCTCTGGTGAATCAATAATCTCAAAGCTAGGGAACAGCTGCTGCAAGGACTGGATGCTACTCTGACCAGGTAAATATTTAACACAACCAATCTCAAACTGTATCGGCATCCACAGAAAACTTTAAACATTCACAAAGATTCCCTTTCAAAAGCATATGTATCAGTTAGGCAAAAGGGTTTCACATCAGTTAAGTATTTTTCTAGGGCACTGTGCTTAAACTGAAATTCAGAAAAGCAGCTGCATATGTTTCACTGTATACATATTACTCTTGGTCAGGATCACAACATTCGATGCTTATCCTTTCATCCAATAAACCTTTTATGCACATAAATGAGGATTAGTTCTGTAAACAAACAAAAAGTTTGGAAAGAGTACTGGGCCCCAGCATACCAACTCTGCAATATCCAGCCTTCATAGGCTGACATGTTTTGCCAGGGCTGCACAGGTAGAAGATGGCCTCCTTCAGCATCAGCTCCCCTAGGTGAAACCATATCCTTCCTAAGTTCAGTGGCTACGTTAGCCACTTCACAGCAACACAGTGAGACAATGGTGAGGAGAACATCCCCCTAGCTAATTCATTCTCTTATCAGAACGCTGCAGAGTAGAACACGCGTAGGACTAGCTGTATGTACAGTTTAGATACTATCCACACTCTCTCCATCTTCCACGCTTTGATTTTGTTTCTTTTTTTCCATCATCTCCACAATCAGACATCTCACTGAGCAGTACCAACTGGAAACTGGAAACATCAGGACACACATCCATCTCTTGTTTTCTTTTAAGCACCAAGGTTTTAGTCTGCGCTTGTCTTTGACAGAGAACACCGTTAACCCATACAAGGTTCTGAAGAACCACTGCTCAAACAAGATGCACAGACTTTTAAGCACAAACTGACAGCTGCTCCAGTTGTGGCAACATGGGAGAGTTCAGAAACACTTCTGCTGCTGCTTGTAATTCTTTTCTCTTTTGCCTCACATTAAAAACGGGAATAGGAAACACTCTGTGTCCACACAGACTTCCCTCAGGGCAAACTTGACAGTACAGAAATGGCAGAAATCCTTACCCCAGTGAAGGATAAGAGGCCTACGGAGGAGAAAGAGACAAGCTCCAGCTGCAATACATGCCTTTACAGTTGTTTATAGTTTCAAGGCAGAAAAGGCTTCTATCTTGAATTTGATTCAGGTGAGACAACAGACCAAACTCCCCAGTGAGAGTCAGTGGCTCACTGACTCAAGTTGCTTTGAAATTGCTAGTGACTATCCACTAGATACTTAATTCAGACGTGTCCACACAAGAGCCAAAAAACACTTTCCAGCAGCTTATAGCAAACTTCAGATCCTCAGTATGAAAAAGCAAAACGCACAAAACTTATCCCATGCTAGAAGAAAAAAAGTATGAGAAAGGCTGCTAAGCAAGTTGAAATGGACAATTATTCCTGCAGTCTCCTGATAATGACAGAAGGTCTCTTTTGTCTGTGTTCAGGTAGAACATGCATCTGGGCTGCCATTAATCACTTGATAATGCTGCTGGCTCATACCTTGCTACATTAAGAAAACACATTTCCAAAATTTCTAAGGCTTCTCAGGTAAGAGAAAAGGTACACAAACTCCCTCAGGTGGGAATTCAGAAACCCTCACAGCATCACTACGGCAAAAGTAGAACATTATTTCACAAAAAGGGAATTAAAATGACAAAACCAAGTGAGACTGTCCATTTACAAGCAGCTATTCTCCCAGCTCCTGTGTTATATATATAAGTAAATAGCACTTTAAATTTAGCATGTGCTTTGAAGAGCCAGAGACAAGTGGCATTCAGTGTGAAATTAATACCTTTGAGAGGTTAGAGATGTTTGATAAACTCTTTGCTGCTAACTAAAACCAAAACTAAACCACAGCTACACAAGATAAAGTGAAACGAACCTGACACATTAAAACTTGCTCATCTTTAGCAGGATATCTTAATTTGTTTTGTTTCCCCCCAGCACAACCAGAGAAGTAATTCTACAGATAAATTCTACATGACTGGAAACAGCTGCTGTGAAATAAGCTGACACAAAATTAGGGTACAGACCAAATATGTTTTAGTTGAATTATTCTGCAATGTCACATTTAATTTTAAACTTTTAAAAACCCATTATTATATTTAGAAATGGCAGGGTCAGCTATGAAGTATAATTAACAGGCTGTTCAAAATGGTTTAACTACTGGATGCCTCTATAACACATGCACAAGGGTGAAAACTGAGGACTATTACTTCTGACAGTAGCAAATCTATAAAATCACTGTTCTGCTCACCTTTGTCAATCCTAAACTCAGTCTTGAAAGCAGCAATTGGCCAGCTTCAGTCTATAAGAAACGCTCTACCTCTGTCACCCATAGCTTTATTGCACTTATGTAAAAATACTAATTGCAATTTCATTTGAGGAATTATACACTGTAAGAGCATGTTGTAGTAGCCACGACATTCAGAGATACAATTACAAGAAGATTAATTTCACATTCAGTCACTGTCAGTTTGGAGAACTGTCTCACTCTGAAGCAATTAGGTTACCACAACACAACTGTGTATGCATAAACAAGAGCAAATTAAAGGTAGACTGTTGGCATACATAAGAGGGGTTTATTCACCAGAAAAATGTAGCTGGGCAGTGGAGGCAAGGAGTTCAGGAAGACACTCAACGATATACCCAATTTAAGCAGCAGCTGTAGTCTAATAGTATAAAGAAATTGTATTAATAAATGTCATTCTGATGTTTGAAATTGTGTTTGTATTGAAAATTAGTAAAATTTACAGTAAATGGAGCTGAAACAGGGTTAAAGCATTAGAATTCAAGTAAGCATCCAGTTTGACTGAAAGCAACGCCTATTCATCTTGACAAATTGGATTAACACTTATTCAGAACAATCTGAAATAATTTTCAAAATGGCTCAATGAGCAAACCAAAAATGCAGTTTATTTCCCACAGCTTTACTTACAACACCTGTTTTCCTTGCTTTGCATACACAGGTTTGCAACTTTCACAGGCCAGAAATCTAACCACATCTTGGGGTAGTTAATAATTCAGGGCACACTTAACACAATGATTCTGAACTTTTCCATCAGATTAGAATCCTTTTCCATCTCAGCAGGACTGTTTCCTATCACTTCGCAATACAACAAAGGCTTCCAGGCCAATAAAGCTCAACTTTTCCATCCAAGGGGGCCACACACCTTGTTGCAGTGGCAGAAGAATTTCACGGGTCATAGCCTCACCCTCATCACAGGCCCAGACCTACTGAGTACTTAAAAGTCCTGTCAATGCAAATGCACTCAAAAGCTTTGTTGCTTTCCAGAAGTCAGGCTGACTGTGCACGTCCTGCAATAATTCAAGCAGCCCTGTCCTCCTATTCAACATGTAACGGGAAGTGCTGAAGGTCTCTCAGGAAGGCGACTGCTGGGAGCAGGCTGCCATCTGCAGCAATTAAGCGCTGCACAGACCCGTTTAGATTTTCAGGTAGTACAAGACTGCTTAGGCCTTCTGTATGCAAGACACTGACAATTATGGGTGAAAGAGCATGAGAAGGCCACAGATGGTAAAAACAGCAGCTGGTGCCTCTCTGACTTGCAACCTCTGCCAGAAATTGCTCTCTTTAAGCTATCTTTTAATCTGTAAAGAAAACTTCAGAGGATAAGTAAGTCAAAACCAAACACACCCCAAACATATTATGTCACTGCAGGTAAATTACTTATGCATAGTTATCAAATATTCCACTAGCAACGTAATGGAGAACAAGCAGTTCTCTAACACTGCCTGGATTTCAAATTCTCCTAAGTCAATGTGGAATAGAAAGTCTTTCTTCAGTCAGCAATTTACAAATCTTGGACCTAGTAATCCTCTCTTGCCCGGTAATCCTCTCCATTGGTCCCCTTACAGGACCACTGAGTAGGGCAACACGTGGCAATTTGTATGAATTACTGTCTTCCGCAATCACCTTTCTTCCCAGCTCTACCTGTTGCTCACTACTATGAAATGGATGTTGTTCATATGACTCCCCTTTTCATACTCTCTTTCTTAACCAATATTGTAAAGAGCAAAGCTTCTTTGATGTCCAGAATTCTCCACATCTGAGGGGAGTAAAGATTAGAATTTCCTCCAATGCATGTCAGTTTTTTGCACTATTTATTATGTAACCACAAGGGAAAGGCTCATTTGAGGAAAATGCCCTGCCCCTTGCCTTCCCCTCCCAAGTGCCATGAACACATTAAAATCGCCAAGGGTCATCATCTAAGTGTTTGTAGCAACCTGATACTACTGAGTCTTCATGTCTAGTCTTCTCTGCCACATAAATGCGGAAAGAGAAGAGCTCTGGTAGGCCTCACATGGCCTTGCCAGTCCAGCTCCTGTGGAAAGGAAAGGGTTAAGTGAATGTCAATTGTAATGTATGCTGCTGGAAGGGACTTTGTGCATTGATTAAAGCCAAACAGCAACCTTTGAAGTATAATGAGAGAGGGGAAAGAAACCACATCCCAAAAATGCATAATCATATTCCTCACTGAATTCACAGGATCAATGATACAGCCTGTGCTGTAAGCATGGAAAATCCCCTTGCATGCTGATTTCAGGTCAAAAGCTCAGGTGTATGACAGCATACCACAGACTCATGATAGGGAAAAGAAAACCAAACCAAACCAAACCAAGCTAATGAAAGAAACTCACCTCAGCTTTGTTCTGTTTCTCTTCATATTCACTCTGTTCTTTTTCCATACCAACCAGCTTAATCTTCAGGTCTGAAACTTCAGCCATGAGATCTAATTTCTCAGTCTCTAGTGATGTTCGACTTAGCAACTCCTGAAAACAGAGCAGAACATTTTCTCCAGTTACTCAACTGAATGCTGACAGAATACTATGTGATTTACTGGCAGAACCACAGAAAAGTCTCTACCCCAGCGTTTTAACGCTTTCAATATGAAAGCAAAATGATTCTCTTCTTCCAAAGTCACACTTGCTACTGCTTTACAATGCAAAAAATGCAGCAAGATAGATTTAATGTAAGCATTTACTGCAGGCAGAAAAAGTAACTAAAAAAAAAAAAATTGAGTGATCGGCAAATTCATATGAAAGCAAATTTCTGTACCTCTCTTCACAGCACGTATACTTTGAACTGTTTGAACTGCGTGTTTCTTGATTTCTGCAGCTATTTTCACCTAAATGTTCTCCTGTGTTAATCACTAAACCACTGTATCCCCCTCCCTATTGCAAGAAAACGTGTGGCAGAGTTAATCCGCAGGCAAGACATGAAATCAGAAAACAATACTAAGGGTGAACACACACAAACCTGCATAATGCCATGAAGACCTTTGAATGACACATTACAAAACAGTTGGCTACTTCCTAAAATACTCATCAGACAAAGCTACATTTTAGTATTACAATGAAACATTTTAGAACTTCTTACCACGTGTTAGTGAATGAAGGGTGTACTACAGAATGAGCACCCTAACGAAAATAGAGTACCAAAGACAAGCAACATTTCTGCAGTCATGCTAGTAGTACTTGAAAGTCTACACCATGTAGTACTTGCTAACTTTTGAAGGCTATGCACTCTGGAGGGAACAGCACTGAATGAGAAGTGCAATGCCCTAACTGCAATCTAAAAGGCAATGCCTAAACTGAGTAACAGTGTAAACAAGAAACAATTGGCCATGACTTCTGCTTGTGTGCCCCGAGTTTGTTTTTCAGATTGCAGAGAAAGTCATACTTTGGACAGAGTGGCATCACTATGTTTGGAAAACATTCAATAGTCACACCTTCATGGCATCTTTCAGTTTTCAAGAAAGCCAAAGCAAAAAATCTTCCAAAATTTAACAGAGTGTATTTTTTTATATATATATAATACTTCTGTTGGCCCCCATTTTCAAAGAGAAAAAAAATCTATTCAGGAGTTTAAGCCTTACTAAAAAATCAATACCTAACTTTCCAAGCGCCTAATTAATTTTTGCAAAAGAACGTAGGTTTCTAAATGGTTCAAAAATTGAATTGGTAATTCATAACTCACATCGGTGTTTTGATCATGTGAAATGCACTGAGGAATGGCAGCAGATTCTGCTTTGAATTATTACATGGAAGTGACTTAACTGAAGCTGGCATGGTTATTCCGGATCTACACTGATGTTACCAAGTGATCAGAAACTGCCCTGTCCATCACCCTTTTCTCAACTCTTCCACAAACTGTATATGTTGTAGACAATGGCTTGGAGCCAAAGAAACCACAAAGGTTAGTTTAAAAATTATACAGTTAAAGTTTATTTGGAACCCAAATCTCCTCTACGTGTAGATCGTTTTAGTCTGGTGGGGAATACTGCCCAAATTAAAAATAGTACTCAACTTGCATCTGCATTGCAACACCAATTATCTAAGCCACCCACTATTCCCAGTGCCATGCCCATTCCTAAAAACTGACAATGATATTTGTGTATGGATGGGAAAATAAACAGAAATGTAGCCTCATGGTTTGTTTTTTTTTCTCTGAATGAAATAAATCAAGCACTAATTGGGAAAAGACAGTGCACTGACTTTTTTTATTGAGAAACTCTAAGAGGCAGTCACCTAATGAAATCTCAGTAGTAGCTGCTTTCTACAAAGGTGATTACAAATTACAATTTTAATTACAAGTAACTCCTCTATCGACCGGAAAAAACCTACTTTGCACAAGTTCCAGAGGCATATTCCAGTCCAGACTGGAACAGGCTCTGTACAGCTGTTAACATAGCAGACTTTTGCAGATTAAGACATAGCTATAAATGAGAACTTTGATATGAAGCAATGCCACTGAACATCAAAAAGGCTAGCAGGATGAGGTGACTTTGGCCCCATGGACAGACTCGATTCACTGTTGAGCTGAAACACCATTTAGAATTTTTTTTTTGACACTGACATGGTGTTCCATCATACAACAGGAAGATTTCTTAATAAGGCAGAGAGACATGGCATCCCCTCCAGAGATTTTTAACAAAAGATCTCTCCTTTGAGGGCACCATCTGCCATTACTCCTTACTTTTTCTACAGACTCCCAAATTACACTTAGTTATGCAATGGAGAGTAATACCTCACTGCTTTCATTCTGAGTTCAGTAGCTTGATGTGAACACTAAGGTGCTACCTGGTGTAAGTGAGCATGAAGGCAGCTGACTTGTTTTTTTAATCAAGTCAAAGTTTTACAGTTTTCTCTGAAGTTGGAGAATCAAATCCTCAGCTAGTGTAAACTGGCATAAAACTCTTGCCTTAAAATAGACAAAATAGCTAACTATCCCTAGTTTGTTTTCAATGGAGCTACACTGATTGAAAACAGCTGACAATTTCTCTTGCATCTAGAGAGACTAACTTTTGCTTTGAAAGAAAGTGCCCTTTAAAGTAAATGTCCCCTCTTGAAATGGTAACATCTGGAAGCAATTATTTTCATCTTCGAGCAGATGCTCACAGTGAACAGCTCATTAAGAATGTGACCCATTTTGTTACAGAGAAATTACAGTGTATTTCAGTGGTATGATGCAACTTGAATTCAGCCAGAATAAATATGCAATTGTAAGAAAAGAAAATACAAATTTATGTTATTGGTTTTAAAGCAAAAAAAGATAATATAAGACAGGCAAAATGGTAATTTGGGCTGTAGCAGCTTTATGAGGATCTTAAAGAGCTGAAATACAGAACAGAAATGGAACATATTCTAGGGAATCTTATTTATAAAGAAGATACTTGTTTTTAATTCTAAAATGTACTATCATTTAATTTATCAAAGTAGGTTTTTTTTTCAAATCAACTTTTAAGTTTAAAAATTAAGGAAAAAAGCTATTTTAGAGTAGAATAATTACAAAGATGAGCCATGCAGAAGCTACAATATGCATGTACCAAACAGATCAATGAACGGCAAACTATTTCCAAACACAACTGTACTTTTAAAATTCACACTGTGTACTTTTAAAATTCACACTGCGTACTTTTAAAATATTTAATCATGCTTTTCAATATTCCCAATGAAACTGAAGCACGTGCTGTATATCTCACTTCCACATTTTGTTGTCTTGGAAATATGTAATTCTTATAAAACTGCTTATAAAATTTAACATGACAGAAAACATCTTAGAAAGAGGACACTACACTATTCTAGACTGTCATCTGCAAGCACAGAAAATTCCAGGATATTCAGCACTCCACAAAACAGAAGAAACAATCATGCCATACACTGATTAAGAAAACATAAGAAAGATTTTAGTCAAGTGTGTGTGGGGGGGAAACCCCGAAGATTCCATTTTGCCCTTGCCCACTGCACAAAATACAACACTCAAAAAATGCCTTACTTTTCACCCTTATTAAAACAGTTGAGAGAGACAGACTGAGCTACCTACCTGGTAAGCAAAATTCAGCAAGAACCACCGCTACTGAGGACTGCACTTTTCAAGTGCTGTGTGTCAGCTGTGGTAGAAATAAGATATTTGCTTAACTGAAAACACAGCTGAGAGCAATGTACATGTGTAATCACCACGAAAGTGCAAGTCAGTAGCAGAGACTGAATTACAGCCCTCCAATTCATCATTTGCCCATTATATAGTTAAGCAACGGAAAGGACAGAACTTCCCACTGCACTGCCAATTTGAACGGCCCTTTGCATACGTCTGACGAACAGATTCGTGCCTACGTTAACTGTAAAATTACAAAGCAGTGTAATGCTCACCTGTATAGATAAGCTGCACAACTTGAGAGCACACTCTGAAAACCTCAACGCCTCACAACCAGCACACACTTCAAAATCTGAAACACTATGCTAGCTGCTGGCAAGAAGTTACTGCATGCTATAAACAAGTGCTGAAATTCATCTAAGATCAGATAACTCAGGCAATTGAAAATTGAAGGCATGATCCTTGCCAGCCAGCAAAGTTCCTGAGAAGCAAACAGATACACAACAGATTTATACTCTGCTACCAAGATGGGATTCTGGCTCACTGAGTAGAAGACAACTGCAAAACCAGAACAGGTACACACTAAACTGCACTGGGTTCAAGTTCCTACTCTCATACAGCTCCTGCCTGCATTCTTTTAATCCACTGGTTTTTAAAAGATTCCTCATTGTGCCTCACAAAGGGCACTGTCTGGCACACTTCCTCCTGCTCCTTGCACCCAGGCAGAAGCTGGCCATAAACTGACATGAGAAACAGAAATTCACTCCTGTTTGCATTCAAGCATTTCAGTTTCTGTGTGTATTTTTAACACAGAAAAAATCCTAAAGCCAAGTGCTTTGTACTTTGCAAGAGAATTTACTTGCTGGAAGACACAGTCAGGTTTACACAATGCAACCGTCTGCCGAGTCCCCTGGATTGCTTCTCACAATTATGTGTCAGAAATAAGATGGAAGGCAGAAATACACAGTCAGACCACACCTAGGATTTGGTACAGGTCAGGTACAGGAAAGACACTACCACACAGACCACCATTTTGATCGGCAAAGCAAACTGTAAGCTTTATGCCACAGAGCTTCAGTGGGAACTAGGATCTGTTAAATAAATCAAATGCAGCACTGGAATAGCAAAGAGGTAACTAACTATTCTTACTCATGATAATTACCATAACAAATGCCCTTAAAAGAATTGTGGAGGTGAAATCTGTATGTGCAGAAAATTCACTTTTCAGACTGACTTAACACAGCTGTCAAGATTGACAGCATAGATTCCATAGCACCAATGTGTTTACATTATGCATGGCTGGTACTTTCTGTTATGGGACAATTTAGGCTACTTTATAGAGCAAAAATTACTTTTGCTTTCCAATTCTGTTCTTCATTTGTAAGAAAAGTTGATAGCAAGTTGATAGAAGGTTCCCCCAAGGCTAAGAGCAGATGTTCAAGACCCTCTCTTCTCTTAAAAAATATTTCTTAAAATTGACTGGAAGAAAATACTTAGAAATGCCACAAACTAACTTAGAACAAGACACATACACATCATTCTTCTCTAAAATTCACTGTAATTTTACATTTTAAAGCAGCTAATATACTGGGAATGGACTGTCACAACCTAAGTTGTTTTCATAAGATAATTCTAGGAGGGTTTGTTTTTTTTTTTAATTTCAAGACATTCATTACAATGTGCTAAGGGGCAAGGCAGGTAACTTCACACAGGCTGGCATTTCCATATTCTTTACACATTTGATGGCAAGGCAGAGATACCACTGGAAGGCAATTCAGTGAGACCAAACTGACATCTTGCTCCCAGTCATGCTCCAGAAAATCTTCTCTGAACTTTTACTGTGAAGGATGACCAGGGAAATGTGTTTTTTGGCCTAAACCGGAACCATACTTAAGGACTGATTTAAAGTTTTGCCATTGACTTTCATGAGTTTTTGAAGGACCTACTTCATTTTAAAGAAAGACAATGCAAACACCTTCAAGGTGAAAAATGCTTTTCTCTTGATTAGAGTCTATAGTGGAACAAGTATCCTTACAAAAGCAAAATGTTGAGTTTGACACCGTAACCATCATATCTCATGAAAACATAAATGCATTACCTGTACCTGTGCATACCAGGGCATCTCTGCATCTGTTACCCAGGATTCTCTTGTTTCTCAAACGCTGCTGAGCTGTATTTTCTTTGGCTGTGGTTTCATAAGCAGCTAGGTCAAATGCACATCTCACCATTGCCCTTATGCCATGCCTTGACCTTTTCTGTGAGCTGTTTCAACTCACTAACCTAGTAGAAAAACATCCCCTTCTTTTTAAACCCCAAGTTAGTTTTCTCCCAGTTGTGGAGTCATTGAGGAAAAAGTCTGATGAGCATGAAAGTCAGTATAAAGTAAGTTCAGAAGCACATGGTCAGGAACAGGGAGAAGGATGAAAAGAGAAAGAGACCTTCTCCTTTATGTAGCAGTAACCTTTAGATTGGCTCAACTCATTTCTTGAAAGTTCACATTTCGACTAAGGGATATTGCACTGTCCTCTTAGAGTGATGCAGAATCATGATTTTCTGCAAAGAAGCAGCAGTGTCTGTTGGAACTATTCTGCATTCAAGATGTCCATCCTAAACGCTGAACAGCCATTTTATGTAATTCATATAAAAGTTTTTTTAGCTGTTGTTTCAAAAGTGTTTCCATGATCGCTTTGTAGCGGGGTTCAAAACAACTGTACATAAATCATAAGCCAGGAGGATTTTAGCCTGAACCCCACCCTGACAAAGTGGACAAGTCTCTGCTAGCGTACATTCAGCAAAAACTATTTTGCAGGGTAGCATTACATACCCTTTCTGTGGTGGAACTACCAGATACCATCAGTAACTTATCTTAACAAAGTGTATGATTTTTGTTTTTATTGTAGCATTTTGGGCACAGAATTAAGAGTCACTTTTCTTATAGTTCCCAAAATTAAAAGGACAGGGCTTATCCTGGACTCAGGTATATGGTTTCCCAGATAAGTAAATAGTATATTTATCCATACTGCAGTTCTACTAATATACATTAAAGATTTTTTCAAGCAAGAGCAATTATCTTTATTGTTCCATTTTCCATTTAGAAGAAGCAGTTGACTTAAGTTCACAAAGGTAAAAATCATTGGAGTTCAATATATTGTAAATAAGCAAGTGGAACCATGAAATAAAATTGGATTTACGTGCACCTTAGGAATATAGTAAAAGTCTTTCTGAAAAGCAAGAATAATTATATAGGTACAGAGAGCTAGATTATTTTTTTCTTATTAGAAATAAGTTAGTTTACTGTAAAAATAAAGAAATACTGTCTTGAAAGACCCACTAAATAGTTTTGACTGGAAAAACTCAGTGACAACACTAGTGTCTCATCTCTTTGCTAAGCATCATGAGCACTTATACAGGACACTGGCAACTGCTGGTTGAGAAGATATGAACCCAACTCTCCCCAAAACCTGATTGATCCATCAGTCTATTGAAGTCCCTGAGGCCAGATACTCACTCTGCTTTTGACAAATTAACTGCAAGAAGGCCTGTTGGCCACATACCTTACACGAACATCCTAATCATATTATCAAGTCATCCCCTTCTCTCCAAATCTCAACTCATTCCCTGTAGAGGGTAATCTTTTCAACAAGATGAACTGAGAAAAGAACCTTCAAAATAAATTATAGACAAATAGGGCCCTCTGCTGAGCCATAATAAATGTGTAACTTCTCTGACTGTTGAGATTTTGAGAAATCTAATGGTACGGTTTCCCGTATCTCACTGTCTACTGGGGGATGTAATCCATGTGCAAAACACACCACAACTACCATTCCCTCATCATCCTCTAATATTTCACTTAATTTGCTCTTCTTACTGTTCACAAAACCAAAATGTTAACTCAACATAATTTTTTCTCATTCCAGTGAGAAAATAAATTCTAAATATCTCAGTTCCACACTGAATTTATTTTTTAATTTCGGTTCAGCTACTGAAAGTATATCACTCATGCTAGAATTAAAATACTAAGCATGTGTTTGTGTACATGTCTGTATCTGTGCAAAGTTCAAATGGACAAACTCGCAGGATTAAAATGAAACACAAATCTTTACCAAGTTGTGGCCTAGATAATTCTTTCTCTTAAACCCCCCCACACACACACTCAAGCTATCATATATGCTGTAAGCATGAGAGATCAGTCACTCAGAAATTTAGCAATCAACAAGCAAGCTTGTCAGTATTTCTGTAAGCTATATATATTGAAATGCAAGGTCTCAAAACTATGATACAAAACAACAAATTTGAGCTTATTGCTAACTACTTAATATGTGTACAGGAAATAAAATAAATTTGAAATTACTCCCATTTGGCAACAATTACAGCTTCTCAAAGTGATCTCAAAATTTAGATTTAAAGTTTATGTTAATTATATTTGGAGATTCTGTGACTTCCTTAGCTTTAGTACAGACTTTTGTAGCTTTAGTACAGACTTTTGTAGCTTATCACTTTAGGATCAGCTTTGTAAGCAATTTGTGCACGTGCCTAATGCCAGACGGGTAGATTCAAACATTTTCACTGAAACAGCAATGTACATGCATTATTCTATTTTCACATGTCTCAGTGTTCTGTTAAATCAGGCTTTAAATTCACAGTTTCCTCAGAAGACTATCAGAGCAGAAAATTTTAAGTCAGAGAAACAATAAACAGTTTTAGCAGAAGTAACAGAACAACTATCTAGTTTTAGATTGAAACAGGAAGCTTCTACACTCTATTGTGAATGCCTTCCTGAAGTTTGAAAACAGATTTTCATAACTTAAATAGTTACTGTTCTTTGAATTTCACTTCAGATGTAACTGAAAAACTCAACGCACTATCCGCTACTTGCATTTTTAAAAACGTCCCCTCATTTAAGTATGAGAATAAAACTTTTCCCAGCTGGAAGCATTTTGGGCTGCGAAAGCTGTGTGAGACCAAGGTGGTTTTTTAGACAAGCTTGGAGAATTATAACTTTAAAAGGTTTAGGATACAAGTTTATCTTATAGAAACTGCTACTGTTTACATACATACATAGACGGATCCTTATCATAGTAAATTAAGTTTATAGAGATTAACAGAACTCTAATTTAAAGCTATGAATAGTTCATAGAAAGACTTATGTATTTCACATAGACTAAAATAGTATATTTATAACACAACATTTTGGGTAGGGAGAGGAAGTTCGTTCATCAAGAACAGTATCGAGCCTGCAAATTTCTCGCATAGATTTTGAGGGTTATTTACAGTTTCAAATCTACTTTTGATATCTATGAACTGTATTACCAGTAGATGATCTGCATCTGTAATAACAGAAAATTGCACTGGGCAAGTTCTTTTGCATCAACAGACCTGCCAGCCCTGCAGTAACACATGAAATGTAAGCTATATAATTTATCATTTGTTCTGCTCCCTCAACAGGTAATATGAAAGAGCAAAAATTAAATCACATAGCCTGAAACTGTTGATTGAAATAAAGAAAAATATGTCTTTATATACTAATTTTCTTTCAAAAATAAGGGGAAAGCTCCTAAATTAAGCAAAAGTGATTATAGAACCAAACTTGACACAGTAATTCAGCTTACTACCTGTTCAGCTTCAAAGCCATACGAAAACAGAAGATATTTAAATAAAACTTAATTCCACAACTCCTACATATATTAGATACATTTAACCTGTCTAACCAGTTACTCGACCATGCCCAAATTTAGTTAGTCAGCACAGTACAAATAAGACACAATACTTTCATTTTACATGCTGCCATGTACAGTATTATGCAACCAGCCACTAAAACGCTTCTGAAACAGGAACACAAAGAAACATTTATTTTTAAAAAAAAAAAAAAAAAAAAAGTGCAAAGCAGCAGGAGAACAATAGAAGAGAAGAATTTTTTCCCTGTTTTATCTTGTGGCCAAAGGCACTCACACATGCAGACCATAAGCTGACCATATATGTTCAACCCTCTGCTGGAGAAGAGATTATACAAGAAGCTTTCCAATCCAGATTTTTACCTGTTGAAGCATTTCTTCTGTAGCATTCAGTTTCAGCTGATGCCCCTCAAGACAGATTTCTAAGTCCCGGATTTTCTCTCCTTGAGCTTCCACCTGGTCTGTAAGAACACTCACCTGTAATTTGAGAAGAGAAGCACAGTGCTACTGAACTGACTGTAAATAAGTTTCAATTACCTTACACAATTAACATCCAAATGCACATTTTAACAGCAAGTTCTCTTGTAAAGTCCTCAACAGTTTAATATTCTTGTGCACTGCAGCAACCTGCTCTATCAAGATAGACAATTTTTCAGTCTTACCTATATTTTGCTTCAACCCTACCCTCTGACACCACCACCCCCCCCCAATTATTCTGTTTTAATATAAAAAAGAAAGAGCATTTCTAGAAGAGATCAAGACTACCTATAGGTAGCCTGAGTTAGTTCATGCAAAAGTCTGAAAAATGTGAAAGCACCAAACAAGAACATAGGATACTGAAAATATTTTAAGTGGTTTTGGAGCATGCATTGCCATTTCAGGTTCTGCTGGCATTTCACTTCCTAAAACGGATAAACAATAAAACTCTTCATCCGGAAACCAACCAATTACTTTACTTCTTACAAGAACAGAAAAACAGCTTACCTATCAATAAAGCGTTCTGAAGTTATAAAGAATGCAATGAGTAAAAGGCATGTTTTAGCAGCGGCAAAGTTCTATTCCAAGAAAAATTCCCAGGCTTTGCAAGCCAAAACATGAAAGCAAAAGAAGTGAGATACAGACAATGAATCCCAGGAAAAGAAACAATAAGCAATACTGGTAAGGAACTGTGGGAATGATGGTACTGACTGGCGAATGTGTAGTAAGAAAAGCCCGGCAGCCTAACTCAAAGCTTGCAAAGCTGAAAAAACTACATTCAGGATAACATTAGACGGATGTAGAAAAAAACCCCAGTGTTAATTCCTATGTTAAGCAGCACATACACTCTGTATATTAATTTTTACTATTTATTTTATATAAAAGCCTTGATTATACTAGAAAAATGTAATCTCAAACAAAACAGCAACCTTAGGTGTTTAAACTCCTGTTTGAATGAAATGCATTAACAAAACTTATCTATGCCCTCACATCCAACCCTTCAACACCTTTATTTAAAAAAAAAAAAAAAAAAGGAAAAGGTACAGTACGTGGAAGTGAAACCTTTAAGATGTACCCACTACGCAACATTTCTAAACCCAATCAATGAACAATTGAGTTCACTTCAGTGAAGCTGCAGAGGGAGTGACTGTGTGATCTGTATTTGTTTTATCTGCAAACATAATGACAAGCATGCCTGGGAAAGGAACATAGAAAAAGAAAAAAAGGGGACTATTTTATTTTTTTTCCTTTAAAGTAGTTGGCTGTAGGGTAGAGCACAGATGAATGCAGGATGAGAGATGACAGGAAGGAGTGGGTGGAGACAGATGGCAGGGGATACACCCAAGCTGGGGCAGGGGGAGAACTCCCCACAAGGAAGTCTGTTGCTTGTCTACTTTTTTGTTTTGCTCCCATTAAATGAGTGAAGGCACACAAAAAGAAAAACCCCGTGAGGTCAGAAAGCAAGAAGAAACAAACTGAATCCTCTCCTTCAGTCTGATGCAGGTTCCAGAGAAGGAAAGCAAGCTCTACTTAAAGGGTCGGTTAGGTTCCAACTAGCACTGTAACCTGTAAGGAAAACTCTGTATGTTAAATGTGACCTGCAAAGGAATTTAGTAAAACCTTAGACACTTTAGAAGCACGTGTTGGATGTTTCAGTAGTTAGGCTGAGAAGCACATTAGCCACTTTGAGCTCGTATTTTCCCCTCTGTTCAGGATTACATCTGCCAGACTCTTCAGGGAATCAGTAGGCTGCACACAGAACATAACCCCAGCGTATGCTATGCTGGCAAGTCCATCTTGCCTTAGCAGTGCAACACCCGCAAGAGTCAGCCTGTAGATAATATATTTTCTGTAAGATAATATATTTTCTGCAAATATCTATAAAAGTGAGGCATATTGAACAATTAGCTAAAAATCAAGTGGTATAAGGGTTTAAAATATCTTTGTGAAAGAAAAAAACAAACCAAACAAAACCTAAAGAAGTGCATTAGCTCCTATACACAGGCGCTGAGCTACAAGAAGGTATCCCAGATGCTGTAGCATTTCCAGTCTCCACTACAGACTGAAGAGTGGAAGCAGGTTCCAAGGTGCACTGTTTGACTTTGCCGTGGTGGACAGAGATAGTGGGCACTGCCTGTGCCCACTACAAGGTGCCTTGTACTGCTTCTTCTGCAGCAAGTCTGATGCAAGACTGGAGTGCTCCCAACCACATACTCCCTATAGATTACAGCTATGGACCACAGTCACTGGCACAATGCAACATGAGCTATAGACTAGAGGTGCTCTGTTTCCCATTGCTTTCTCATCCTTCATGCCAACAGTCACACCCAGGAGCCAGGTCTGTACCAGCAGGCTCTCTCAGGCCTGTGTAACCTCAGCATGGGACGTGTTTGTGTTCCTCTTATTTGACTGCCTAGATAGAATATGCAGAACTGGTGTAAACCAGGTTCTAACCCCAGCTCCATCTTGGCATCTTTTTTTTTTTGTTTTTGTTGATGTTCATCTATCAGACTGAGATTTCCATCTATGTTATTTGCCTGGGGTTTTTGGAGTTCTACTACAATACTGTGCAGTGGGATAGGAAAAATGTGTAAATACTGACTAAGCCTCTTGATTTGATGGGGTAAAAGGCAAGAGAGAGACAATTTCTACACCTGATTTTACTACATAGCTCTTGAGAAAAACTCTAGGTAGGTCTCCAAACCACGTCATAAAAGCCCCTTCTTTGCAAGTTTGCCTGGCTGCATTTGTTTGGATAAAGAAATAGTTACTAAAAATCAGCAGGACAAAGACAGGAAAAGTACCTACTGAGAAGCAGCCTGGAACAGTCTTCAGAAACTTACAAGTGCTAGAGACTAGCAGTCCTGTTAAATCCACAAAAGCTGATACACTTTGAACACCAAGATTCTGCCAATTCTCCACAAGCCCACCAGCACACATGACCATCAACAACTGGCTGTATAGCATGAACCACATCCAAGACAACAGTGGCTGCTATATGCAGGCAAAGATTACAGGACTATACACACACGCGATGAAACAAAGGAGGCCTTCAGGTACAAAGCCACAGGTGCATCAGTACAACCTTCTGCTTCTGAGTAAACAGCTGAGTTTGGCCTCCTAATTGTTGCTTCAATTATAAATCTGCGCACATGTGAGTGAACTGTGCGAGAAGTGAATGCACTGTGTGAAAAGTTGTTTGCTATTATTAATAGAATCAAGATGTTACAGTTAATAACCACTTGATTAATAAAAGGTGTTCCAATAAATATCAGTTGTGATGTTGTCTCCCCTGACCTGATTCCCTCTCAGAAAAAAGGGAATTTGCGGCACACACTTAAACATTTAAATTCCAACCAGAAGTTTGTTTTTCAGTCAGGATTTTTTTTTTCTAAATTTGGTAATAGCAATTTTAGTTTAACAGTAACAAAAAAATGCAACCAAGCCTAAGCTTATGTCTCACAAACCAGTTATTGTTTATTTAACAACAGCAGTGAGAATTCTGCTCAGTAAATTAACACAAGTGTGAACAGAACATACAGGATAAAACATGCTTACAGAAACTAGTAACTGAAAGTAGGGAGAAGACCTACCCAGTATAGTTAAGTTTTGTTTGATATAAACATATATGCTTATAATATGCTTTTGTAAGCATAAAGAGAAAGGATATGCAAAGACCATTTAAAGAATCTCCAGCTTCAGTTTTAAAAAGCATGTAATGTACAGTTTAGTAATAGTGAAAATATCCAGAAAAAAAAACCTAAGTTTTTTTATTTCAAGTTGTGCAACATGTGTTTTATCCAGGAGGAAAACTTACATGGGACAGGGGATCTGTTTGAAAAAGGCTTGGTAAACTGAGAAATGGGAAACCTGGAAGAGCTTAGGCATGCATTTTACTCTTTCTTTTTTCCCCTTTACCTCCCCTTAAGCTTTTTGATGATGTAAAGCAACTTTGGTACAGTATACAAGCAGGAAAAACATCAGTTCTACCTACCTGCCAGTCTTCCAGTTAATTAAAAAGGCTGGCACACAGAACCTAGAAAATCAACTGGTACAACCTAGCAAACCTAGAGTGAGAACCACTACCACAGCATTGTCTTGGGACTTCACAGCATTATTTTTAAGTTGTTTTTTTTTCCTTTATCATTCTTCTCCCTCTTACTCCCTTCTCCTCTACCCAGTTACCCCACCATGAAACCTCAGATGGATTATACAAATTATAAATTAATTCTTGATTAAATACCTGTTACATTTGGTGACCCACTAACATTTGTTTAACAGAAAATACTCTGTCACTTCAGCTTTTATTCACTGAGTATCAACTACATAGACAATGTTCTCTCTAAGACATACCTGCAGAATGAGCGACTCTTTATCACCTTCTAATCGTGCCAATCTTTCTTGATAGGTTTCATTATTAGATGAATGATGATTAACCTGTGACTGGAGGAAAAAATGCTATGAGAATTTTTACAGTAAATATTAAAATTTCAAGCAATAATAAATAAAAATTTATATAAATTGAGCAGTTGTTATAATGCAAAAAAAAAGCAAAACTGTGTCTACAGATCAAAACTGTTTCTTTCATATGCATTAAACCTTTTGTATGTACCTTTTTTTAGCTGGATTTTGAATACTGTCTCACTTCCAGCAATCACGAATGGTATAGCAATAGATTCGATATTTTCCAGCAAATTATTGTTTCCTTGGGAAATGCCATCTCATCAAGACAAAAAACATTTAATTTGAAATATCTGGTCTCAGCAGTCTTTTGCCAAAGTCAAAGAATCTTGGTGTTTATGTTTAAATGGTAAAAATTGCCATATGTATTATTGAAATTAGAAATTACTGAAAGTATAATTTTTTTGTTAGCAATTAACAAATTATTTAAATTATCAAATTCTTATCAGGAACTATTCTAGCTACGTAATCACTTATGGATTTCTAAGTGGCTCTAAGGAGCAAGACTTCTAAACCATGGCCTGTTCCTAACTATTATGTCCCATTTCCTATGAATTCTAATACTGCACAGACAAACACAACAATAAAAAAAAACCCTGCAGATTTATTTTTAAAAGTTTAGAAGAGTCCCATAGCTTCATTCTGCATACTAAACCATTGTGTAACTGTGGGAGTGAAGCTGTTTGCTTAAAGTATCAAAAGTAACATGAGCCCTTAGTAGTTCACTTCCCAGCTCCATTGCAGGCAATGCATTTCTGCCGGGGAATAAAACACTTTGGCTGGCTTTTCAGCTAACACATGAATCCAACTTCACTGAGTTCTCTTCAACTACACTAGTCTGCAGCTGACTACTCATTTATCATTGCTTGTACAATGGCACAATCCTCCCCCCCCCACTCTCCTTTCTTTTTCAACAGAGGATTTGTGAATAGGATTTTTTTTAATATTAAATCTATTCATGGCTTCTTGATCTCCACTGAGGTCTACAGGCCCAAATGTAAAACAGATGATGAAAATAAACATGGTGCTAATTAATGCAAATCAAGAAATCAAATATTTATCCAACCAAAAGCTAAACCACACTTTTCAAGCCATAAAGTGCTGAACTAGATATAAGTGTGGCATTTTTATGAGCTGAGCTCTGAGGAACTGAGCATGCTTGCCTCTGACATTTTTGAAAGGAATTGACAGAATCACAAAGACACCAACAAACAGGACTGAAAGGTGCCTGAAGAGATCATCTGGTTCATTATTCTATCCTAGGACAGATGGTTATTTGCAATATTCTTGTCTTGCCTACTCCTAATGACCTCCAGAAATGGATTATGCAGCCTCCCCATATAATCTACTTATTAGCTACCCATCATTAGAACATTTTTCTTAATGTCTAACCTGAATCATCATCTCTTCAACTTCAACCTACTGCTTCTTATTATACCACCATGGATTAAAAAAAAAGGTTCTTTGCTTCAGAAATTTTTTTACATATTTGAAGACCACCTGTAGATCTCTAATTAGCAGGTCCCTCTTTGGGCTAAACAAACACAAGTTTTTCTGTCCTTTCCTCACAGGTTAATTTTTCAGGATCTGTTTTGTTGCTTTCTTTTGGTTCCTATTCACCAATTGTTCCTTGACTTCTTTTGAAATTAAGTGCCTAAGAGTAGACACAGGACTCTAGCTGAAAATGGCTGAAGTGGAAAAAACTTTTTCACAGATCCTTGGGCCATATTTCTTTTCATGTCAGCCATATAGTAACACTGATTTTTTTTCAGCCTAGGACCCATAACTTCCAGATCCTTTTTTAATGTTCTTATTTACCTAGCATCCTGTTCGTCATCCTGTGTTTACTCATTGGTTCTGCTTAAATGTATAACCTTGCACCAGTCTATACTGAATTCTGTCCTATTATTATTTATACTGTTTTCTTATGTATCAGGCTCTTCTTATGTTTTAATCACATCCTTTAGCATGGCTGCAAGGTGCTGCTTAACTAGAATCACCTATAAATTCAGTACACTTGGTCCTTATTCCCTGTTTTAAAGGGTCAGCAAGAACACTGAAGAACAGACGGTGCAGAACCTCACTCCACACCTTACCAGCAGTGATCAAAAGAATTTCTTTACTCAGAATATACTTTTCTCACTAGCTTTTGACCAGTTTATAGTAGGTCCAACTAAGATTCAAGACCTCACAGAAATGGCTCTAGATATGCACACCCGAGTGCATAACTTACACACAAACAGAAGTCTCAGACAAATTAGTAGCTTTTACAGTGGCACCTGTAGATATACTTACACAGTGGCACTAAGTACATAATGCCCTTAAAGGAATGGTGACTTTACTCCATCTTCCTCTCTTAAATAGTTCTAATTTTTTTAGAATTTCTGTGCCCTAATATTTCTTTCCATCTTTGCTAACATCTCAATGTAATTTTTTCAAGACTTCTCCTTTTATTAAAAAAATACCACACACCCCAGCAACCCCCCCCGTTTATAAAACATGCATCTTCAGTTTAACTTAGGCCCTTTGTGTCAAAAGTCGGTCAGTCGGTCAGTCCGTACAGTCTTAAAGTTTATTCCTTATTAACTTTTGTAGTACTATAATGAAAATAAGGAATCCTCATAAGTAACCAACATGCATTTCCGTATGTCTGCCTAGATAATTCTTCAACCTCGGCAACGTATCCTCAATCACACTGCCAGCTGTTCTGCCAGGGTTGTTACTCCACTTGCAGAACAAAGTCTTATACCGTACTTCAGAATCCAAAATCTTTAGCCTTGGCGGCTATCTTTCCATTAGGGTTAAAGCTCCATTACATACCATTAAATGAGTTTTCTCAATGGAGAGCCTACAGGCCTTCCCCAGTATGTCTCTGGCTCACACACAATGGTAGAGACTTCCCTGCACCTAGAACATCAAGTATTCAGGGAAGAACAGCACACTGCTAGGCAGGAAAAGATTCTCTTAATGACAAAACCGAGTGATGAAGACTGCCTAGTCAGATAGATTTTGCACCCTTTCTCCTGCCATCATTTGCTATTTTCCTAGGCTAGATTTAAGAAATATACCTGTAACCACTTGTGTAACCACTCCCCCCCAGCCTTACAGGCACAGTGAGTCAAATTACTGCCAACACATTTTTACATAACCAATCTGTCATGAATGCAAACCAGAATAATTAAGAATTAGTTCAACATCAAATCACAAATAAGATATTTTACTACACTCACATTTTCCAAATGTATAGCCTCTGATGTTGTCTGCTGCACCAAGTGACTGTGAAATATCCCCTGCTGAAGTCTAATACTCAATAGCCATGTAAAACCTAGTGAATCACACCCATGTGAACAGAAAAGGGGGAAGGGGAAAAAAAAAAAAAACAAACCAACCCTGCCAATAGGTCAGCCAGAGAGTGCTCAGATAAGTACAGGAAGGTACAGTAGACAGAAAGTGACCTGCTAAATAAAACTGGCTGATTGACACACAGCAGTTGTTTAAGACTTGGGAAATCTTTGTGGCATGCATAAAGACAAGATAAAACAATGTAATATGAACCAAGGCCATCTGTGGATGGTTGGAGTGCATTCTGCAGTTGTTAAAGTCAGTACCGAGAAGAAACTGAGCAAGTATAGTTAGATATCACATGTATCATCAGCAACTGAATATAGGACCTATAACACTAAAGTCATAAGACTACACACCAGTCGAGTTGGTCTAAGAGCTCACAAACAATAAAACACTAGACTTGTGTAACCACACGACCAAAAGGCTGAATCACCAAGATTTTCCACAAAGATGTTTTTTCAGAAGATGTAGTCTTAAAAACCAAAAATCATTACCTGGGCTCCACAAATTATAAGCTAAATATGTTAATTATATTTCTTGTAACGAAAGAATGAAAGAAATTGCATAAAACATGTAAAGAAGTTTATGATAACACATGATAGCAAAGTAGAAGAAAAGATATGCTAAGGCAAAGTGGCTGAAACTACCTTGATGGTAGTACCACTGCAGATGAAAAGTCAAGCATATACCATAAATACTTTGCCTAAGGGAGCTGCAAAGTAATGACGTGAAACATCTGTCTCCATAGATATTTTGGATATAGTTTAATGCCCATCAGGTTGCATCAGATATTAACATAAAATGTTTCCTCAAACAATTCCAAATCAACTGTTTCCCACAGTGCTAGTTAAAAAAAAAGGCTTTTGCATTCCATCACCTGCTTCAGCTTCTTCTTCATCTTTAGTTTCCAAATCTCTCTCTGGAATATGGTCTTTACTCTACCTCGGACATAATATTGGTAGCTGCTGGAAACTTGACTGTCTAAGTATCACTTACATGATCAAGTCATTACAGAGTCCTTTTCCAAGAAAAAGGCTTAAAAATTCCTCCAGAATATATGACCAAAAAAATCTGACTTCAGAGTATGATTCAACAGCTCTAATTTAAAATTGGGTTAATCAACAAAAATTTAAAAGTGTATGGCAAAAAAGAAAGAAAGGTTTCATTGACTCAGCTATCTTCATTTTTCAACAGCCTTCTCAGAGACTGGTAAGCATGGACTGTTATGCTTTTTTGCATGTTACTTTAATAGGAAACAATTCAGAATGCAGCTTACTGTCTGAACAGAACGACAACCATTGTCTAGCGCTTCTGTACAGATGTTCTGTTCAGAAGTTTCAGTAACAGAACTTCTAGCTGAATCTTGATAGGTTGTAAAAGTAAGCCCCTTAAAGCAAGCACATATGCAAGATAATAAAATTGAGTACAGGCCAGTTTATGTTCTCCTCATGTGTGCTGTTTCAGTTTCAGCTCAAAGAATCTCCAACACAGCTAATTTAAAAAAAAAAAAATACCAACTTCTGAAGTTGATCAGCAAGCTGCTACGCAGAAATTTGTCCCTAATACCATGGATCTCATATTGGGCTGTGGAGGGGGGAGGAGCTGGGAAAAGAAACCTGGCAGTCAGTTAGAGTGGT